TTTAAGAGATTAATGTCTTATGGGCCCACTGATAAGTCATGACTGAGGTAACTGCATGACCATGCTGAGATGTTTTTATGACGTGTGTTCCTATTAGTCAGACTTGATAAATCAGTGAATGACTTAATGGATACAAGTTGGATTTTATTAATCCCTTGCATTAAGTTTAGACATTGAGACAAAGGGATACAGTTACACGGAGTCTGAGTCGTGGAAAGGTTTTGACGGTGCAAACGTCTTAACTTATAATCTGGGGGCAATAATGTGTTGCTAGATACCGCTTATTGCTTATAGTATTGGTGTAGAGCCAATACTGTGGCCAGCTTTATAAGTGCCTATATGGGTCACACACTTTGAACAATTTAAAGAGTAGGATTAAACAATGGGATAATAAGTAATTTGTATATTTGTAAAATAGTAAAATAAAATATTTTAGAATATAATATTATATATATGTAAAACATTTGGTGATATATTTACATATATAAATACCGATATATATATATATATATATATAATATGTTGAATATTTTATTTTGGTTTGTCATTTTAATTATGAAAATAATTATTTTGACATAAACTATTTAAAGTATATTTCATACTTGTTTAAAAATGATATTGGTATTTTTATTTGATTTAAAATTAATTTTATATTAATTTTTAGTGTCAAATAAAATACACTTTGAACATTTGAGTGGAGAAGAATTTTAAAAATCCTTCTAACAATCAAACATACGGCCAAGTGGAGATTATTGAATCAATATCTCTTCTTGATTTATTCTTTAGTGGAGCTAATAGTGTTTTAACATTTCGCGTTTTAACATTTTGCTTAATGACAAAGTATGATTAATCAATTTGTAATCTTTTGGTTTTTTTAAATGGTTACACGGCACATGAAATATAAAGAGGGTGAAGATTATCATTTTTATTCGTGTGTCATTCGGCCATAATTTTTCTAGTGAGACAAAATTTCTTTTATGTTCTATTAATATCATTTTGTGTATAGAAAATATCTATAATATTTTCTAAATATTATTAGAAATATTTTCTATAAGAAATATACATGATTATTATTATCCCAATTTTAATCTTTATATTTTATACTACTATAATCTTTACTAGCATAAAGATTGTGGTAGACTATGGCGTTGTTCGTGTGTCAAAGTTGGAGACCGGACGCTTGAACGGTTACGTTTGCACTTTCAACGCTCTTCCTCTGACTTCTTCGTTTTTACCGCTTACGAAGAAAGGTATAAATTTCTTACTCACTATAAGTTTTAGTACGTGATTCTGGGCAAGATAATCATGTTAGGATGTTAAAAATTTTATATTCCGCTGTCTATCCTTGCTTGGTTACCTTTCAGAATCAACTATAAAAAAATAACATTGGACATGGACTCGCCATGATTCAAATAAATGCACTATCCCCAATTCATACTCCTATTTCAGATTTTATACACCTACCTTGTAATTTATTTTGGCAGATTAATTTCAATCTACACATTCCTAATTAAATACCATCCCCAAAACCTGGATTCAAACACCTTGTAAGTTGTAAGTTCTTTTACAAATAAAAAAGCAAAAATAAATGTAAAACTAAAATGAAAAAAAAATCTGCATACCTTATCTACATTGGAACACCGCACAGAGCAATACTTGCAAGGAGATATGTAAATTCATCTAAAGATGATTCCAGATCACGATTATTAAGGAAAGTGATGGACAATAAATCCACCAAATGATCCGGTTTACAGAGCGGATCGTAAGAACAAAATTAAGAACAAGAATTCGAGAATTGGATGTGTATTACTAGCTTGATTTAGCTTGAGTTCACCCCTTTCGGGTCCCCTCTATTTATACATGAGCTCTAAACAATTAAGGTAATGCATAACCGATGGAGTCTATCCCGCCAAGGGCGCGATCCCCTTTTCCCGGCTCCGTAACGGCCAATCAGCTCCGTCTCCTTCTCCGGTTTGACTCTGCCAGCTGCGCTTGGCCTGAGGTTAACTAGGCCCAGCTCCTTGGGCCGGCCCAGCTTGAGTATTTCACTGGTGCTTGACCCGAAGCTGTTTAAATGGTTCATTTGGGCCGTCCTCTGGATATCGGCCCATCATAAGCCCCCCCAACTCCTCAGTCCTCAGCTGGGCCAAGCGGAGGAGTGGGGAGTTTGCAAAGTCCACGTGGACGCTCCAGCGGGGATCCGGGCCGTTCCTTGGGTTCCGCACGACACTTGGGCACGATCTCCACAAATAAGTAATCATGTCCTGCCGATTCGCCTTCCTGTTGTCAGTTAAAAACCGCCGCTGGACGCCATCTCTTTCTTTCGCCTTCTTCACTACCGTTCGTCTGCAACTCCGCTGCTCACCCGACTCGTTCTTCTTCCTGTCCAGGTCAGTTCCTTCTCTCGCCGCCATGATTGTCTCAGATTCCGATTCGGCTACGCCATCGTCCAATTCTCGCCAAGCCGGTCAATCGGCCTCTGACCGTAACCCCGGCCACACTCCATCACCCCGGCCGTCGCCGTCGGCCGTGCCTGGCCACAAACGGCGTCGATTGAGGAAGCAATACCCTTCCTCAACTCCGGTAGATGAGGGCTCAAGGGTTGAATTGGACGAAAAAATCATGGCGTTGTGCCATTGTCAAATTACTGACCGGGGGTTCGCCGATGCCACTGACATGGTTGGACCCTCCATCGAGGTCATGAGACCTACCAGTACTCAAACTGCTCTAGACGCACCGTCGGGGTTCTTCACGGTCCATCTGGTGTCTTTGAAGAAGGGGCTGCGCTTCCCACTCCACCCGTTGTTGATCGAATTCCTCAACGTGGTGGACCTTCTCCCATGCCAACTGGTCCCCAACTCTCACCGGTACATCGCCGGTTACCTGGTCCGGTGCAAAGATGTAGGGGTGAAGCCGACCTTGGACCATTTCATATTCACCTTCAAACTGACCAAGGGCCATAAAGATTGGGCGTCCTATGCCAGTCTTTCCCAGAGGTCCAGTAAACTCTTTGCTAGTGATAAGAAGGGGTCAACCAAAGACTGGAAGCCTTTCTTTGTCTTCGTTTCGACGGGGCCCGAATCTCCTTTCACGGGTTCAGGGCGCCCTTCCTTCCG